TGATGATGGAATCTGTTATAGTAGCAGCAAAGTTGAAAACTGAATCTGAGAGGAATACAAATGGACAAAGGAAAAAGCTAAACAGACTGGTAAGGAAGAAGTCTCAAAGGAAGAACCATTTTTATCATAACTTACCAATAAGAGTAGTTTATATTCTAACAAGAATCTAACATAGCATGAACAGTCTTTCATTTTGATTATATAACCCCCCCTTTCATTTCCAAATAACATCAGGAATATTTTCAGAGAAATTAAGGAGAGAGGGACCCTAAAGKTTTTTCAACCATTTGTACATTTAATAAATATATTTGGTATTTTGAATGGGTGCTATGTGCTAGACACTATGCCATGCCAGGCACTATGCATACTGTAGTGAAAATGACAAAATAAGCACAATTTCTGAAGTCATCTAATGAGCAAGATAATAATAAAATAATTGTCATAATTATAAATRAAAAAGGCCTACAAAGGAAAAAAGATGAAGTGTCAAGAAAGTCCTTTCTGAGGAGAAATACTGGCTACTTCTCATTCCTCAAATCTCAAGTGTCAAGCAATGAGGACCAACTTCAAAGAATTTTAAGAAAATTGATGAACGTATTTCAAATGTCTGTTTTATTCCACAGCAAGACTGTAGTGACTGGGTGAGGATGAAAGTGAAAAGGGAGAAACCAATTAGGAAATTATTTAAATAGAGCAGTGGACAGGGTATCACAGAAAGAGACAAGAAATAGTCTCTATCACCTTCCCACTTACCATATAATACCAATACTTAATTATTCTTGCTGCAATTAAATTTATACTTATTATTTAACAGTTGCTCTAGACATAATTCCATAGGACCTCACCTCAACTTCACTTTTTTTTTTTTTTTTTTGGCTCAGGGGATTGAACCCTGGGCCTTGTGCATGTGAGGCAAACACCCTACCAACTGAGCTATATCCCTATCCTCCCACAGGACCATCATTTCAAATTACTGAAGTTAAAATTAGTACCGTATCCCAAAATATTTTTGTTATTTTTTCCAGTCAACTAGTAATCTGCAAAGTTTATTAAAAAACAAAAACATGAACATATAAACACAGGGAAAAATAATTCTAGTTTGTTTTACAAATTTAAATAATAAATTTTATACTGTAATCTTGCCTTACTTTGTAAATATGGTAATAAAACTACACAAATCATAAAAGTCTACTTACTTTAAACTTAAATTACTAATACTTTAATGGTAGGGTTAAGTTACAAAACAAAGGAAAAACCTGACAAGGAAGATATCATTCTTCTCAGAGTTAAAAATGTACTGAGGGGCTGGGGTTGTGGCTCAGTGGTAGAGCACTCACCCAGCATGTGTGAGACACTGGGTTCAATCCACGGCAYCACATAAATATAAATAAATAAAGGTATTACATCCATCTACGACTAAAAAAAAAAGTATTAAAAAAAAAAAATGTACCTCACTGGCAACTATATATGCTAGAGTGCCCGATCTCCTATAAACCATCATCTCTGGACATTTATTTACTGATTGGATATTTACTGAGTGTTCGGTGAGTACTAGTTACCTTTGTTATCAAGCTGCCTTGTTACCTTCTTCATTAAGGAGAGAATAAGGTTGGTTACAGTAACCTCTGTAATAGTGTGCATACCTAGAAGGAAGAAACTCAGAATTTCCTAGATGTGTCATTATATCCTCTCCAGCTCTACCAGGGCAGCAAYGGCAGAATCAGGAGATGGATGGGAAAGAGCCACACATAGCAGAAATGTTTAATGGGATAAGGAAAAAGACTCCTAAATTCCTTTAGGAGGCTTACCTTCACACACAGAAGGGTGTTAACAGAACTGGAACTTTCAATATACTAATAATGCTTCCCCTGCCAAAAGCTGACTGTCTCTTCTTGATAGTTGACAGTCTAGTAACAATGTCCAGTACAAAGTACAGTACTTCCCTTGTTGCTATCCTAAGTTTTTCTTTCATCACTTACCAAGACTCTTAGGAACATCTCTTGATCAATTCCCTCATTCTGATAAATAGAGCAATTGAAATGAATCTCCACTGAAGCAAACCCCTATCTAYTTCCGTCCCTCTTTAAGAAATCATGCTGAATCCATTTCTACTTCAGAAACTAGTGGCATAGTAATAACATTAGTGACAACTGGAAAATCTCTCTTCCCCTTTGTGTCTCTGGACATAGCAGCTTTTTGACAATGAAATAATCTTAAGAAAAACAAATAAAATAATAAAAATAATAATAATAATCTTAAGGAATAGGTCAACATATTGTTATTAGTCAAGATCAATCAAAAAAGCTACAAGGGAACAAAAGGTCAAACGAAACATTAATTGGAAACTGAATCTCCAATTTCTGTTCAACTATCTTCCAATCATCTATTAAAAGCTTGAATTAGTAATTCTTTATTTACCCAGTATTGATCATAAGCCAATCCTGCATATCAAGTCAATTAGTAATAAAATCTGTTTCTTATAGGCATCATTTCCTGGCAGATATATCATCTCRCTGGGCCAATCACCACTGTGTAGTTTTGCAAATCGCATTCTAAAGATTAAGGGCCTCTCCACTAATTACTGATGTTAAGAAAAGCTCATGTAAGGACAGTTCAAAGCTATAAAAACATATGGTCTTATCCCCAKTATTACTCTGAATCCTCTACAGCAGTGGTCCCTTAATAATGAACTTTCTATGCCTCTGAATACCTCAGAACTATGTAAGTGGATTTTTGCTCTTGTGGGACTGGATTGGTTATGTCAAGAGCAGGATGTTTTGAAGTAAGGGTGCTTCTGTTTTCTTCTTTTCACATGCACCCTTCCACTTTCCACCATGAATTCAAATCGCACCAGCACAAGGCCCTTGCCAGTGGCTTCTCTTATTCTTGGGTTTCCCAAGCTTTAGAACCATGARTCAAAATAAACCTCTTTTATAATAAACCATCTGATCTCAGGTATTCTGTAAGAGCAACAGAAATCAAACTAAGACACTGAGAAAAACAGACATGTCCACATTCATACAAAATGTAACTACCAATTTGAGAAGGTTCATCCCTTACGTTTCATCATGGAATCTATGWCAAGATCCTGTTTCATAATCACTAGCAGAGCCACCTGAGATTTATAAGCATGAGACAGTCCTGYTGGGCAATTCCAAGATAAAGATAATCAAAGCAAAAGTGAGATGAAATTCACAACCATACTCTGAAGCTGAAATTACAGCACCACAGTGCTTATTTATTCATATCACAAATATTTATTGAGCACTATTATGTACTAGGCAAGGTATTAAGAAGATATGATAGCRATCAAACTCTGTTGTAGTTAATAAGGTTTTGGCTCTCATGTAGCTTAAAAGCACCAAAGGAAAGAAACTCTATCATCCTGATGAATAATTACAATAGGACAAAGAAAACATATTTTATGACTGCCTATAACAAAAGAACCTATTTGAGAGTGAAAGTTCATAAACGTTTCCTTAAAGGTAAGGTTAAATCTAACCAGTAAATAAGAGTAATCTATGCAGAAATGGGGGTAAGGAATAAGGTTAATATAAGCCTTCTAGATCAAGAGAACCACATAAACAAAGATCCTAAGGTGGAGATAGTACGTAGATTAGGCAGTTGTACAAATATGAAATTAGGAAGTTGTGAGTTCTCCTATCAGTAGTTTTCTTCTTAACCTATTATCGTCTAATGAAAATAATGGTATGTTTATCATAGGACAGTTGAGAGAATTCAGAGGATATATGTAAAGAACTTAGTGAAATGCTGCCTCACATAGTAACTACTCACTTAATATCAATGATGCTAATGATTATAGAGTAGTAGCTGAGAACTTGCACACAGTACATATTAAAAGTGCCTGAGGCTGAGCATGCCTTAATGCCAGCTGCTCAAGAGGCTGCCAGGAGGATCATGAGTTCAAAGTCAGCCTCAGCAATTTAGCAAGGCCCTAAGCAACTCAGTGAAACCCTGTCTCTAAATAAAAAAGCTAGTATGGGGCTCAGTAGTTAAGTGCCCCTGGATTCAATCCCCAGTACMAAAAAAAAGAAGAAAAATTTTTTTAAAAAGTGCCTGAGTTTACTCAACCCCAGTTTACTCAGCAGCTCCTGAAGCTACTGATAACAACTTTTTAAGGCAATATACAAGAAACAAATATTTCAATAGGGCCTACTCATCATTTTTACTTATATAAATGTGCTAAACAGGGGCTGGGGATGTGGCTCAAGCAGTAGCGCGCTCGCCTGGCGTGCGTGTGGCCCGGGTTTGATCCTCAGCGCCACATACAAACGAAGATGTTGTGTCCGCCGAGAACTAAGAAAAAATAAATAAATATTAAAATTCTCTCTCTCTCTCTTTAAAAAATAAAAAATAAAAAAAAATAAATGTGCTAAACAGGGGCTGGGGATGTGGCTCAAGCAGTAGCGCGCTCGCCTGGCGTGCGTGCGGCCCGGGTTCGATCCTCAGCACCACATACAAACAAAGATGTTGTGTCTGCTGAAAAACTAAAAGTAAATATTAAAAAAAAAATTCTCTCTCTCTCTCTCTTTAAAAAAATAAAATAAAATAAAAAATAAATGTGCTAAACAAAGAATTGTATTTATATATAACACAAATATGTCATCTCCATCTAAGAACTACAATATTTTACCACTGAGACCATTCTTTTAAATAAACTAACAATTTTACTGATGAACTCTGGAAAATGCTTAGGTGAAACAGTTGATGTATAATTCAAAAAGAAAACAATTTCACTTTGCTTCTAAGCAAAGTATTACATGGATCCCCAGTAATGAAGAATGTATTCTTTTAGTAGAAGTTTGTTAACATAAAAGGAAATACATCCTTTTCATGTATATACTCTCTCTTCACGTATTAGATCCATTTTTTCCTAAACTTAAATATCTGATACATTTCCCGGACTGCTGGATTACTCAACAATTAAGAGCTGAGACATCAAAATACTTCACTTCTATACCACAAAAATACAACATTACCTGGAAAACTAGTCTTCATTATATCAATTCCAACTTGTAGCTCAGGTTCAGCAGCAAGCACTGCATAGTCCCCTTGATGAGAGATGTTAAAGTTGAAATTAGGGTAAGGATTCAATGAGTCCTTTGCAAGGACTGGTTTTCCTTTTGCAGTTCTTTGCAAACGGATATGATTCCAAGGGATATTCAATTTCTCTGCAACTAATTTCCTTATCATCAGACGACCAGCCTGTTAAGTACATAAAACATTTGATATGTATTGATGTCTTCTAAACATTAGGCATAAAATATACATTTTTGTGGCTTCTGAAATTTTCAAGTTTTGGAAGTATATAAATATTAAAATATGATGCACCGCTATCAAGTAATTATTACGTACATAGAAGAATACCATTTTGCTTAGCAATTTCTTCCCTTACCCCACAAGCAACATTAACAGCAGGTATCAATCCAGACTTCTCTTTAAGTATTTAAATATATGTACTTCTACATGTTTTTGCTAACTCTTGCTATATAAACACATATGAAATCATACTATGCAGTATTCTACAACTTACTAACTTTTTAAGTACTGGGGATTATTTCATGTCTATCCATATCAGTCCAGTATGTAGCATACTTCATAGTATTGAGGTTCCATAGAGTATTGGCCATTCCCCTATTACTGAACATGTTAGGTTATTATGAATATTGTAGATTTGCTGTTATAAAATTCCAAACCAAGCAACCCTCCTCTATCTACATTCGTACATATATGCAAGTATTTCCAGATTCTATGCATTGATCATTCAGCTTCAAAAATTAGTAAGGCATAACCTATCTTGTTCCAGTCTCACACTTCCTTTATTAAGAAAAAAAAAAAACACACACACGAGTATGACAAGGTTTAAAATATTTTTTAAAACTCCTTCAGGACTTTTTCCTTCATCAATTTCAACACTGAACAATTTCAAATTCACTGTTTCCAGTTTCTTACAAATTATTAAAAAAATATTCACCATTTTGCCCTCATAAAAGTATCAACTAACTGGTCCATATTTCAGTGTTTAAATATTGAGACATTTTCAAGAAACGAATGTCTATTAAGTGATGGTAATTAAAGGTTGCTTAAACTATGTTACAGTAATTTATTTTGAAATCTAATTTGCCATATTTTGCTATAAAAATACAAACATAATTAAAAAACATAATACATCTATTACAAATACTGTTCCCCAAGATTGCATCCTCCCTGGACTTCAGTTTCATTGATAGGCCTCTTACAGTCCCATGGTACGCAAGGATACAAACAAGCTAAGTCGTATTGTCAATACTTTCTGAGCATGTGCAAGATGCCCCTGGGACACTGGTGGGCTATGTAAAAGGCAGATTAGCATGGCCTATGAATCCAGCAAAAGAAAAAAAAAAATACAATTTGCTACCACGTAAAAGATACATACAAAAACAATTCACTACAGTTAAAAAAAAACCCACTATTACTCTGTAGGTTTTCCCTACACTTATTTTATGATTTGGTGGGGGTCTCTATTTTCAATTGCATGGGGGAGGAGTTAATTTTTACAGCGATCGAGGCCTCCCAGGAGGTTACAAAGACTTTAGAGACCAGGCCAAGAGCCTGATCGAGACCCCGCAGCGCCCACCACTCTTACCCGGGGCGGTCCACAAGTGTTCTAGAGCTCAAACATCCACGTTACGGAGGGAGGATGGTCTCCACAGCCCAAGCCAACCCACCTCCCCCAACATCTCCTTTCTCGGCTTTAAATACCAAAGACCTGTACTACCATGGCTGCCTTAGCGTCCCGGGCAAAGACGAACTGGCCAATGCGCTCCTTCTCCTCGGGCTGGATCGATCGTACCGCCAGCAGCCATTCTGCACGGCTCGGTAGCCAAGTGCCACAGGAAAAGGCCCAACGCACGCCCTCCATGGATGGCACCAAGCAGAACCGTTTGGCTGGGAAAACCATACACTGCACACAGGTTTCACCGCCACCTCGGGCCTGATGGCGCGGACGCTAGCGTGGCCACACCCCCTTCTTCTCGGCGTCTGTGCGTAGAAGGCGGGGCGCCGTGCGGCGTCAACACGCACGTAGCTCTCCCGGAGCGCTCCCTGCCCCGCCCCAAATTCGGCGGTCTCCATTCGGAGATAGCGGTCGGGGGCGGTTACACCAACGACCTCTGCGCTTTGCGGCATCGTGTGACGTCACGTAGGCGTGACCCCGCAGCCGAGCGAAGGGAGGGACCAAGGCCAAGAGCCCTACAGTTACGCCACTCACGCGTAGGGAAATACTAACCAGACAGCGGTGCAAGCCAATCGCAATCAGCGCTCTGGAAGCAGAGAGACTTGGGTGGAGACTTCAGAGACTGCAGTTGCAGGTGGGTGAGCTCCTGGGTCTGAGGGAGGAGTGGGATGTCAGTTCCTCATTCCTGGGGTCGGGGTTACCTCGTACGACCCACAGAGAAGAGGCTTTCCTTACCTTCAGCGGCTTCTGTCGCCCCTTTGTATTTTGGGGAGGGAGAGGGTTTTCTGGCTAGGAGGGATTACCTAGATATCCCTGGAGTTGTGCAACGCGGTGGCTCTGAGTTGCCTCCTTCTCTTGYCCCCCAGCCTCATCTGTCAGTGGAAAACTTACCCTCACCCAGGCATTCCGTACCCCTATCAGCCGCCCACCTGAAAGCTGCCATCGAAAGCCGGGCTAAGACACTGTCCTCAGCGCTGGCGCGAGCGCGGGCCCCACCTGAATCCGAGGCTGTCAGCCAGCTGCTGGGCTAACGCTGACCCTTCATTGCGGCGCTTAGCGCCCAGGTGCTATTTTGCGGTTGCCACGCCTGAGCTAGTGTTATAGGGAGAAAACGGGATTCCGATGTTGAATCATCAGTGGTTTCATCTTGACCGAGGTCCTTGATCTCTCTAACAGCCACAAAAATCAAGTAAATAACTTCAGCGGCCCTTCAGGTTTACTCTGTGCCTTTGCTCACCTTTTCCCCTCAGGCTTTATAAAGAGTCACATTGATATAGTCTGTTTCCATAGTTGTTCCATGTAGTCTGTTGATGACGTTTTTTCGGTCAGTACTGGGAATTGAACGCAAGGACGCTGTACCGCTAAACTACATCTCCAGTCATTTAAAATTTTTATTTTGTGACAAGGTCTTGCTAAATTACCCAGTCTGGCTGTGAATTGCGATCCTCCTGCTTCAGCCTCCCCTGTCACTGAGATTACATGCATACGCCAAGACTTTAAGCTTTTGTAACGCAGAAAAAGCCCACCTGATCAAAGTTCTTGTGGATTTTGGTACAGGGAGAAGTTGTATCTGCAGATGAATGTAAATACCCCGCTTGATGGTAGATTAAGTGCCATACAATGGATTCAGCCTATTCGCTTCTTCCTATGGCTGCCAGGAAATATCATCTATGTCCCGCAGTATTGATTACCACAGTTACCTGCCTGTTACTTCTGTTTCTTTAAGCAGAATTTTATTCCTTTTTTCATCTGTACTTTTTCCCCATTAAGTTTTTGTAATATCATGAGTCCCCTCGAATCCTGTGCAAGGCAATGGGATTTTGAAAACACACACACACACACACACACACACACACACTCAGAGAGAGAGAGAGAGAGAGAGAGAGAAAGAGAGAGAGAGAGAGCCTCAGAGCACAGTAAGATGAATTGTTGGCTTGAAATATCAATTTAGCTAATACTAAGAGATTTTGTCAGGTGCTATGCTTAAGATCTGCTTACCACTTGCAGGGAGCTTTGTCTAGTAAGGCAGATGAAGGACACACATAAAAAGCTTCAATAAGAAGATATGAAAAGTAAAAAAGTACTCTACTAAAATCTACATCAGCAACGATTATAATACAGTTTTTCATTTTCACTTTTTGTATCTAAGCATCATACATTATAAATGAAGCATCATTTCCTTTCCTATCTTTTGAACTGATTTTTATAATTTTGGTATGTTTTCTGTTTCTAAAATACATCTATGTACATTATCTTACATGTTCTTCTGTTAATAACTATTAACGATGGAGAAACAGCTCAAAAGGAATTTGCAAAATAATTTAAGTTCAGGTTTAGGAATTCATATTCCCTTCTTTTACMACTAAACTAATTGTACAAGATTTATTTAGTGCAATATATGGACAAGTGATGTGGTTATTTTTACAGTTTTTTTCTACCTATAATATAATTCTCTCTTACCAACATCACATTCCTTGTTCCTCTGWATGATTTAGGCTCAAATGTCATTCAAAGATAATGTCTAGAATAGCTCATTCTCCTTACCCTCCATCCCAGCCCCAAGCCTACTACTCTAGTGAACACCCTTTGTAAGTTTATTTAATTTAATCACCCTCCTTATTTACTTTTTAAATTTGTCCTTCAAGGCTTAGCTTAAGCCTTTTCTTAAGGCTTTCTCCAGAGTATTAAAAAATAAAGATATTGTTTATAGAATTCATTTGCCAATTATTCAAATATTGCTGTATAACATCTCTTTTATGGTTGATATTACAGGTATTCATCACTGCTCCCAGCCTAGTAATTGACTTTTACAATAGATTTTATTATTCTCACTGGGGTAATACTGTTTTTATATAGTTTGTCTTTATCTCCTTCACTTTTTTAAAAGGAAATATAAATGCACCAGTTAGTAACTTGCCTAACTTGATTCCATAAACCCAAAATTATATTAAAAATTGTTTATTGCATTGGTCAGGAGAAGAGGAGGATGAACATAATAGAGGCTTTGCCAGTTTATGCGTAATGGTCATTTTGCCCTATCCTGATTCATAGCTTCTTACAGGGATTCTGGGAGACATGATGTTCTCTTTCCAGTTCTATCACCAATTGTCTGTATGACTTTGGTAAATCACTCCCAGGTACTAATTTCAATGGAAAGGCATCAGATGAGATCTAGCTAAGATATTTGAGATCACTAGCTTTTTATTGAGTTACAAACTTTATTCTCTCTCAAACCTTTTTTTTTTCCAACCAAGACTTTATTGACTAGCTCTATAATTCTGCCAGTTTCTCAAGGAACAAACCATTATTCTCCCTTTTCCTCATTCTCCATGTTCATCCCAAAGCTCTATTTTGGTTCTACTCTAAAGTAAAGCTAAATCCATCTATTTCTCTTCCCATCATTGTACAACTTGTCTTCAAAGCTAAATCTAGAAATATATGCTCTTAATCACTATTCAAYATTGCTTCCTAATTAGATTGACAAGGACAGAGTGTTGTGGCACAGAACTAATATTCCTGAAAGGTTAGATGAGGAGAGACATGAGAATTCAACTTTGAGATGATAGTGTGGTGACATTGAGAAGGGCAGTTTAAGTAGGGTAAAAGGAAGGAACTTGATTGTAGTGGAATGAGAAGGTAACTTGAGGCTATGCTACCACAAAGTTAGTCCTTAAAGAAGTTTTTCTACTTGAAAAAAATATAAAAATAAGATGGTAGCTAGAGGAGAATAAGAAGTCAAAATATATTTTTTGTTTGGTATTTGTTTACAGATGGAGATACTAAAATTTGTATTCTGTGGAAAATGTATAGTAGAGAAATAGAAATTTTTACTATTGCAAGGGAGGTTAGTTGTGTGTGTGTGTGTGTTTTCACCACTCTAATGTGTACTCCGGAGTAGAGGACCTTGTCTGTATTGTTTTTAGCTGTATCTTCTGTATTTAGAACAGGACCTGCTATAATAAWAACTACTACCCTAACTTTCTAACAATTGCTGAATGACATGGACTCTGCTTCTTTTACTCTTTTTTCAATTTATTTTTCACATATTTTCTGGAAAGATATTTTTAAAACACAAATCAGATTAAATACCTAGTTTAAAATTAGTTGTTCCTATTGTACTTCAAATCGAATTGTAGCTCCTTGCACCTGCTTTCTGCAGTCCCGTTTCCTGACATTATTGCTCCCACTAACTGTACTCCAGGCACACCAGCTGCCTTTAAATTTCTTAAAAACTGAAGGAGTACTTTCTCACTTTAGGACTTTATCTAGTATTTCTCCCACCAATACCTTACCTTCTCACCAGTCAAGTCTCAAATTACACCTTCTTAGAAAGGGATCTGGGTCACATCCCATGTCCCCACTTACTTACTATTTGACCTTGGGAAAATTACTCAAAAATCTCATGTTTTTCTGTCTAGAAAATGGAGATGATACTGTTATCTGCTTTATATAATTGGTTTGAAGATTAAGAGCATGTATAAAGCATGAAGTACAGAGCCAGGCACAGAGTGAGCACTGGGTTAACTGTAACCATTTTATTATCTGAAGTAGACTGTTCCTGCTTTTCTTTTTTCTTTTTTCTTTTTTTTGTGTGTAATTTATTATCATCAGCAGGAACCATGTCAGCCATATGCTCCAAGATATTTAGTTCCTAATTCATATATAGTTAACATATGCAATAAATATTGAATAGTATAAGCCAGAAATCATGCTCCATTTTGGAACATCAGTATCAAACTAATAAGTGAATGACTCAATGAAATCAAAGCCCAGGTCAATTAGGACACAGCTTTAATTTCAAATTTTATCAATTTGCATATGCCTTTCCATCGCTACTTTGCATCAAAGACTTGGTTCTTAGGTTTGACCCTTGTACTTTTATTGATTCAATTATGTAAATCACCTTTTAATGGAGGACATTAAAAGAATAATTTGTTTTGAAAATTGGTTCAGTCTTTATTAAACAGAAAGGTGTTTCATTGAAGCTGAGATGCAATAGATGAAATACACTATTATTTTATGTGCTACTAAGAAAAAAGATATGCCAGTTTAATTATTGTACAATTTTTTTTATCATTTGGAATTTTTCATTCTGACAAAATGAGCCATATGTGCATGTGCTCCTGTGTATATATGTATATATATACACACACACACACAAACATATATCCCTTGTACATACATTGAAAGAAAAATTGGCTGAGTTGCTCCTAAAACAACTTAACATTCAATCTCTATTTAGGCTCACTTTCAATTCATGCTCAATGTCTGTGTTATATCCATATAATATCATTCTTTGTTTATAGCATTAGTGATTCATCATCTCTTATAGAAGCATCTGTTATTATCTCCAGGGTTTT